AAAGTATACAGAGAAGCAGACAGACAGACAGACAGACAGACGGGCAGACAGGGAGGCAGGCAGAGACGACAGGCAGTCACTGACATATAGACAACTATACAGACAAACAGACAGTGATAGGCAGGTAGATACAGACAGTAAGAGGTAGAGACAGAGATAGACATACAGCCAGACCAACAAGCAAACAAGCAGACACCAGACAGAAAAAGCGAGCGAGCGAGAGCGCGCGTGCGAGAGAGAGAGAGAACAATATTACCCAATAATCCATCGCGTCACAGCCATCCAATAAACACGGATTTTTCTTCGACTCCGGGGAAAAGGAATGAGAGAAAAAAAAGAAAAAGAAAAAACGAAAAAAAAAACAAACTGTACCCATTCTTTGTGATAGTATGATCTGCAAAGAAAATGGAGAACTTCAGAATGGGAGACGTAGGTGTCGCGCCCTCGAGCAACAGAAGCTGGGAAGACGCGCCAAGGACCTCGTTCTATATATTTAAGTGAACCAGGTGAATGCATGTGTGTGTGTGGGGGGGGGGGGGGGTAAAGGATATTATTTTGTATTGACTCATGCAGGTGAATTCATACAGGAGGTTGGGGAATATGTACTGCCTCACGCTTCAGAACTGCCACCGGACGTTCGAACAGATTACATAGAAATTATCACAGATGAACGGAAATATGACGTGACCAAAATGAGTCCACGCATACGTATGGTATTCATCATAATTCTCAATTTTCGATTAACCAAAAATAACTAAGAATAAATAAATTAACCAATTTATAAACGCAAACCTGCAATTTAGGAAAACGGAGACAAAATTTAGACCCCCAAATCAGCATAATTGCAGATAAAGCTATAATTGAAACAGGTATGGGAACCGGTTCTGAACTGCTTACGTGCAGGTAGACACATCTCCACCCTGTGACGTGGTTCGTCCTGTGAAGAGGGCTAGGGGTGAGGGAAAGGTCGATAAGCAGACATAAGGTAGACAGGAAGAAGAAATCTGAATGAATGGAGAGACGTGTAAACGGTTGATTTTTACTCCTCTTTTATTTTATTATTATTATTATTATTATCATCATTATCATTATTATTATTATTATTACTATTATTACTATTATTGCTATTATTACTATTATTATTATTATTGTTTTATTTTTTATTAACGGATAGGGGAAAAAGTACTGTGAACATATTAAAAAGATATGTAAATGTTTCAACAGTTAAACACGAGTGATTACCGTTAATTTTGTTTGTTTCTCACTGATTAATGTAATTATAAATGAAGAGAGAGAAAAAATAACCAGAAAAGTTTTTGGCGTGATTAATCCGAAAGAAATCTAGCTAAATTTCGTACCTGTTGTTATTATTTTTATTATTATTATTGTTAACATCATCATCATCATCATCATCATCATCATCATCATCATCATCATCATCATCATCATCATCATCATCATCATCATCATCATCATCATCATCGTTTTTATTATCATCATCATTATTATCATCATCATTACAATCATCATTATTTATCATTATTATCACAGCGTCACAGTAACTTTACCCTAATCAACGAATGATTCATCTTTTCCTCAATTTCCAAGGGATTTTGCCAACGCAGCGCCGTCAGCTGGAAGAACTATCTTACTTACTTGTTGCTTTGTTTTGTCCTGTTTT